CACAGGGCTCATTGAGCACGGAAGTCGTTTCGTTCCAACGCAGTGTCTAACGGACACGGAAGCCTCGTTGAAGCAATAATCGATTGGAACTGTAAATATTCTCAATCTTAATGGGGAAGAGTGTAACGGGGTTACAAATACCCTGGTAACAGGGGTGTGTGTCACACCAGATGAGCGTGATGTGACCACACCCACACAAGAATACGGTACGGGTCTAAATAGCCAGTTGTTATACATGTATTTAGATTTTCATATTAAGGATAATCTATGTATTAAATTAGGCGGCTTTGCCGCAGATAAAAATAAATAAAGTCAGTTTTGAAGTTAAACCGAAGAGTAAATTAGCCTTGGGTTAAGGCAATAATTACTCTTGGGTTCAGCGGTTTGCGATCCGCTAAACTCGTACTTGTTGTGAGTATAGAACGAGGGTCGGTGACCTAAGTTACGCTTCCTCAAAGCGCAAAGCTACGGCAGCCCAGCAACAGATTTGATCCGCGCCGCATACTCGGGTGATGGTATGCGTGTAGCGCTGCTGCGGGATCAAATGAGCAAGGCGTTTGGCCAAATTCGGCGGCACCGCTGGTCAGTTTACCGGTATCCTACGGGTGTTTGCAATCCATAGGTATGGAATTTGTGTTTGGCCTGCCGAAGGACTTGGCGGTCAACACGGGTGTCGTGGTCTTTGTAGACCGTTTGAGCAAGATGGCTTATCATGCGGCAGGGTTGGATAACATCGACGTTGTGGATACAGCGACGCTGTTTGTCGATCGGGTCTTTCGACAACATGGTCCCCCGGAGTCAATTGTTTCTGATAGAGACCCACGATTTAGTGGGAAGTTGTGATCTATAATCTTCAGGGTGCAGGACACCAAGTTGGTAATATCAACAGCGGACCATCCGCTGTTTGGTTGTCAAACTGAGCACGTGAATTGCGCCGTCGATGACGTTCTTCGCAGTGTTCGCGCTGAGACGCCGAAGCGCTGGAGTGCCATGCTGCCACTCGTAAAGTTTGCTCTAAACAATGCAGTGCATTCATTCATCGGCTACATGTCGTTTTACGTGAACAAACTTGTTAATTCTCGTGTCCCCCTGACGCCGCGACCCCATGACTCAGGGCTTGGTGGAGAAGGAATAGCCGGACGGCTAGCTGTTGTCAGCCCCCTCACTGTCCGTAAGGAAGTCGGAGACTTCCTGTCTGCCAGACTGAGTGTCCTACGACACGTTCGCGATGCGATGGGTGAGGGCCAAGATATGCAGAAAGAATATGCAGATGAAAGAAGTAGAACAAATGCGGAAAACTTTGAGGTCAAAGACCAGGTTTTATTAAATGCTATAAATCTTCCTACACATGCAGTCTCTGCTATCTTTAAGCCATCTCCGTCCACGGTCTATCAGACTTTTTCAGGTCGTGGCCAAGCGAGGCCTTGCGTATACGCTAAACCTTCCGAGAAGTATGCGCACCCATCCGGTGTTTTATGTGGGCTTACTTAAGCCGTACGCTCAGTTTGACTATCGGTCTGTGGATGGTCCGCTGTTAACATAGGCAACTTTGTGCCCAGCACTCTGAAGAGTTTGGACCAAAACTTCCTAGTGAAGCGCGGGACTCTATCAGCGACAATTGACTCCGGTAGACCATGTTGTCGAAAGACCCGATCGACAAACAGCGTCGCTGTATCCACACCGTCGATGGTATCCGACACTGCCGCAAGATGAGCCATCTTGTTCAAATGGTCCACAAAGACCACGTCACTTGTGTTGCCCGCCGAGTCCTTCGGCAGACCAAACACAAAGTCCATACTCATGGATTGCCAACATCCGGAGGGTACCGGTAAACTGGTCAACGGCGCCGATAAATTCGGAGAGGGTTTCACTATCCGACACGTCTCACACATGCGCACATATGTGCTCGTCCACTTGTGCAGCTTGGGCCCCTAATATGTCAAATCACCGAGCTGTACGTCTTATCACGATCGAGATGACCACTGATTGGGCCTCATAAAGAATACGGTACTTCGAATTTTTATCGTGAGGAACCAGAATACGTGACGTTCCCGTCAAATCGGTGATATAATACAGCAACTCGTTATTCAACGAATATCGGCGTAACTGTTCGCGCATTCGCGCCGACAAATTCTTGTCCGAGTTTTTTAACTCCTTGCACCCGCGAGCCTGCATCAGAGCCACACACATACTATCACCCGCATATGCGGCGCGGATCAAATCCGTCACTGACGACGTCAGTATCGTGACATGAGCAAGCATGTCTGTGTGACAACGCATCAGCCAATACATTCTGCTTTTTTGGCTTATACTTCACCTAAAGGTTATATTCTGCGAAGAATGAGAGCCACCAGGCCACCTTTTGCGAGAGGTGAAGCGACTGAGTCACAGTGCGTAATGACGCATGATGTGTGTAGGTTTTAAAAGGCGTTGAGCCCCGCAGGTGCACCCTGAACTTGTCAAGTGCATACTTCATCGCAACTAATTCCTTGTCGTTGACTGGGTAGTTTCTTATCGCAGCCTTAAACTGGCGAGATTCGAATGCGGTCGCCCCTCGGCGTCTGCTTGCAGCAGTGCACAGCTGATGGCAGCCGATGGCAAAGTCCGAAGCGTCACAGACGACACTAAAAGGACGATCGGGGTCCAGCAACACCAGTATTGGTGCATGAGGAAGGCTGTTTTTGACCCTGTAAAAAGCCTTCCGATGATCTGTGCTACAACGCCATTCTGTATCCTTCTTAAGGAGACTAGACAATGGCCGCTCCATTTCCGCATAATTTGCGCCTTACTTGCGCAAGTCATTTTGGTTCTTTAGAGCCGGCCAGTCCACAGTGGCCTTGACCTTTGCAAGATCCGCTCAAAGGCCACGCTTCCCAATGGAGCACCCAAAAAGAGAATCTCTTCCGCGCCGAAGATGCAGTTATCAGCATTAGCATACAGCTTATTCGTGCGCCTGCACTTGAGCACCGCTCTCAAATGGACGAAGTGGCTTTCCTCATTTGTCCTCCCGTGCCCTGCACGACTGTAGACGAAGATGTCGTCGAAGTATGTTTGTGCATACGCCCGGTGGGGTCTGAACAATTGCGTCACAAAGCTATTAAATGTTGCTGGTGCTTTTGACATCCCTTGGACGATCATCAGCCACTACCAGAGCATAAGTACTCATCGCTTTCAGCGGAATCACTCGCTCTCATGAGCAATTGGTAATATCCATCGACCAAGTCGAGTGCACTGTACTTTGTAC